AAAATCATCAAGGGTCAGAATAAAACAAAAACAATATCCTAAAACTCCTAAACTCCAAATCCCATAAAACTAGAGAAGGGAATTCCGCTTAGAAGCGGCGTGGTCCCGAGAGTAAGTACAGCATCAGCCCTGCAGGGGACGCTGTGCTCCACCAGGGAGCAGAATCTGAAACTGCAATTAAGCCTGGGGATGCAGGGGAGCAGGAGTGTTTCTGGGTCAGCACTGCTCTTAAATCCTGGAAGAAGCAACACAAATCCTCCTTGGAAGAAAGCCTCCTCAAGTAAAGCCCTCAGATCTTTCACAGATTCAGTCAAATAAAAGTGAGAAGATCTAGAACACATAGAAAAGACAGATCACTGCAAAGATGACTTTAGACCATAGGCAGGCTTTTTAACAACAGTGGAAGGTGGAAGATGCTGAAACTTCAAAATGCTGGGAGAAAGTAACTGTCAACCTAGAATTGCAAGACTGAGGTTGAAATAAAAACATATTCCAATAAACAAAAAACTGAAGTTTATCCTCCACAAGTCTCCAGTCAAGGACCTTCTAGATGATCTAAAGGACCCCCCCGAGATGCAAGGTGTAGCTTCTATAACCTATATACACTCTTATAACCAAATAAATAGACACAGAATTTTTTTTTAAGAAAAAAAAAAAAAGAGAGAGAAAGTCTTCTGTTTGGATGTGCTTGGAACCTGCTCGGAATAATCTGCTTTCTACCTCCTCCTTAACATGAGCCGGAGAAACAGCCCAATCAAAGAAGTGGGGCTGGACCATGGCTTGCGGTTCACCACACAATCCTTCGCAAATGGATAAAGTCGATCATTTAAAAACCTCAGCCTATTTGACTTGGGGCTGACCAAAACCACAGGATGATTCAGTACCATTCCTGGACTGTTGGTTTTAGGTTCTGTGGTTTGCTCTTCATCAGCTCTTTTTTCCCTATAAGAGCAGCTTCCTAACAAGGAAGTGACTATTGAGAAGAAAAAGATGAACGACATCTATCTTAAGAATAAAACAGGGCCAAAAACTGACTTGCACACATCCGTTCCCAAGGTATCCTTGAGCTTAAAACGTTTCTCTAGAGAGTCATAGTTCTCCATCATGGAGGGAGTTAATCCCTCCAGCTCTTCTTCTCCCGAACAATTTTTTTTAATACAATGCCCCCATGTCATTGTCTGAGAATACTGGGATGATAGATATTATAGGCATGTAGCAAGGACAGGCAATGCCATGGCAGACTGGAACGTTAATGGTGGGACCTTGACATCCCCATCAAAGCACAACATAAAACTAGTCACTCCTTTCATCTACAGCAGGTGTAATATGCGTTCAGTGTTTGTGAATTACTACTAATGTACAAAGCATGAGTTTGCTTTCTGTTCAACTGTTCATACAGCTTATGCTTATTTTACTCATGAAAATAAGAATTGGTAAAGATTCACTTTAATAGGAATTCCATAAAGGTTTAAATAACCAAATTAAGGGGTGTCTGTGTGGTACAGTCAGTTAAGCGTCAGACTCTTGGTTTTGGCTCAGGTTGTGATCTTGGGGTCATAAGATCGAGCCCCCATTGGGCTCTGCACTCAGTGGGAAGTCTGCTTAAGACTCTCTCTCCCTCTCCCTCTGCCCCTTCCCCCATTCTCTCTCTCTCTAAAAAACAAATAAATAAATCTTTAAATAACCAAATTAAACTCTCACCCTCTGAGATTTTTAAGTATCTGTGGGGATTAGGTGAGGATAAATACCACAATGCCACTGAAATGTGCATACAAAATTTATAAGTTCTTGGTCTCTTGTGATTCCATAGAGGTGTGCAAGAATCAGGGTGTGACCATGAATGCCGTGGCTTTGTGCTCCAGGGAAGGACCCTGGCCCTGTTAATACTTTTTAAACTTTTTTTTTTTTTTTTAATTTTTTACTGAAAGCATGAGAACTGTCTTTTGTGTGGGTCAAGACTCAGGCGCTGAGTACTATGAATTGTGTGTCTCCAGCTAAGTAGGGAGTTTTCTGGGACTATCAGTCTTGAACCTGGAGACCTTATCGGAAGTTGGGTCCCATTGAGGAGTTCTATGGAAAGCTAGATCTGGGTGTAGCTTCTTTCATGTGGGGCAGAGGCATCCCTTTATCCTAACTGACTCATTGCCAAGTCTTCTGAACTTCCTAGTTTGTTCTGCTGATCTTTCTACAATGTAGCTCTTTCCAGAAGCAGAGGGATGGGCAGGCTTTGGTGGTCCTTTATCAATTGCCACTGATCTTCCAGTTTGGGCTATTTACCACCTCTTTTCTCCCATTCACATCTGGTCAACTCTAGAATCCTTATCTTCCACACAGTATGCATGTGGACAGAGAATATGCCACTGGTACCAGAAGAAGCCCAGCTGGAAGCCTACAGCAGAGAATGAGCTTCTCTGCTGAGCTGCAGCCTCTCCCCTGCATGCCCGGTCCTCATTCATTCTAAGACTTAAACTAGAGCCCAGTGTGGACTTGGAAGAGAGAGCGAAACACATCCTGGGAGGCCAGGGATCACTTGGCAAAGAAGACATCAAGGACTGCCTCACCTTGTAATTTCTTCTCCTTGCTTTTCACTTCCTGCACGGGGTAACACCAGGTTAAAACGTAAGTTACATGTAGCTGGCAGTGTCTGATGCCTTCAAGAGATGAGTCTTAGTTAAAGAACAGACTTTAATGAACAGGGCAGTTCAGCTCTGGACATAAAGCCAAAAACAAACGTGAAGATCTGGAAGATGTGCTACAGAGGCTTGTCCTTGTAGTTGACTTTGAAAATCTCAAAATAAATTACCTGCTTACTGCCAAATTCCTTGTCCTCGGGGCAGAGGAGAATTTATTCTCGTTCCTTTCCTCAACCTTGGCACTATTAATAGATGTGGTAGATGATTCTTAATTGTGGGGGCTGTGCTGTGCGTTGTTGGATGTTTAGCAAGTGTGAGCATAGATTTGGAGAGATTGCATAAATGAACGGAGAGTGGTCAGACCATATATAAAAATAGAAATCTGACCCACCATCTGCAGCAACCCGTTTAGGAAGTGAAACCACTACCTCTGTGACATTTGGCCTCAAATGGTCAGGACTTAATAACTGCCAACTTCTGTAATTTTTGCACTGGCTTCCAATTTAGGACCAACCAGAGAAAGCCAAACATACTTCCCTAATCAACCACGTAGGCCTCCAGCTTCCTTATGCCAACAGCCTCCAATCAGGGTATACCTTCCCTTTTTTCCATTATAAAGTAGTCCACTCCTCTGCCTGCTTTTGAGTCTCTGCCAAGTGCAAGTGATGGTGGCTGACCCCCTAGCTATAGTGAGCTCTGAATAAATTAGCCTGGGACATAAGTAATATATATATTTGGTTTCTGTCCCTGTTTCCTGGCACACAAGCTCCTTAAACCCTTAGAATCTTTGAAGTGATATGTTTTTTTGCATGCTAATGAGATGACTGATGCTGGGGGCTCCTAGATGGCATTGGTGGTAGGACACTAGTTGCCAGGGAAACCAACCAGTGATTAGAGTGTTAGGATTTTCTGCCCCACTCCCTAACCCCCCAGGGAGGGGAGGGGATCTGGGGGATGATTTAATCACCAATGTTCGATGATTTAATCAACCATGCCTATGTAATGAAGCCTCCAGAAAAAAAGCCTAGCCAAAGGGGTTCAGAAAGCTTCTGGGTTGTAGAACACCTCTAGGTGCTGGGAAGGGGATGCTCCCAGAGAGAACGAGGGAGCTCTGTGCCCCTTTCCACATACCTTGCCTATGCATTTCTTCCATCTGGTTGTTCCTGAGTTGTATCCTTTATAACAAACCTGTAATCTAGTAAGTAAATGGCTTCCTGAGTTCTGTAGGCTATTCTAGAAAATTATCAAACCCAAACAGGGGTAGTGGGAACCTCCAGTAGGTCAGAAACACAGTGACAACCTAAACTTGGGATAGGTATCTGAAGTGGAGGCGGTCTTGTGGGATGGAGCCCTTACCCTGTAGGGTCTGTGTTATCTCCAGGTAGATGATGTCAGAATTGAATTTGAGGACACCCAGCTGGTGTGCACAGAAATTGGAGAATTGCTTGGTATGGTAAAAACCTGCACACATCTGGTATCGGAGGTGAAATATTGGTGTGAGTGTAGAAAAATGTAGTTTACTTTTATAGCTTATTCTTCTTCTCATTTGTGTGGTCTTCTTATAGGTCCATTGTTTTTGTCTATTACATAGTTCTAATGAGTGAAAACATATGACCTTGGGACGCCTGGGTGGCTCAGTCGGTTAAGCGTCTGCCTTCAGCTCAGGTCATGATCCCAGGGTCCTGGGATCGAGTCCCGCATCGGGCTCCCCGCTCTGCGGGGAGCCTGCTTCTCCCTTTGCCTCTGCCTCTCTCTCTCTCTATCTCTCATGAATAAATAAATAAAATCTTTAAAAAAAAAAAAAGAAAACATATGACCTCGAGGGATTGGACAGAGGACAGCTAAATTTTGACTGTATAGAAATAGAGAGGTCAGAAAGAATGGGACATTGTTTTGAGGGGTAAGGACACCTGGGCCCATGATTAGGGGACATTTTTCATTGTTGGGGGTGGGGAGGGAGGAGAAGAAGAGACCGAGTAGTACATACAGACTATTTTACCTTGTTTCTTAGGTGCAATGCAGACCATTAAAAGTAAGAATCCCTTATTTATATTTTCCACCAGCATATAAAAACCAGTTTCACATAAAATGTCTCATTTGACCCTCAAACAACTTTATGAGGTAGTCTCAACATACGTTTTCATCCCAGTTTCCAGTGAAATTTTACCCTTGGTTGAAGAGACCAGATCCCCCAGAGTTAGAGCACCTGTATGTGGTTGCAAGGTTGTCAGGTAGCAGGGCATGGACCAGGGTTGATCCAGGCTTCAGTCCTCTGCAAGCGCTTGGCTCACCACCCAGCTACTCCCCGTAGCCCCACGGTCCTAAGAATCTTATTCCTGGATGTCAGTACCCCGCAAAGCCTCCTACCTTCATGTGTAGAGCAAATGACCGTTAGTTCTTGGCTAGCATCTCCAGACCGTCTTACTGGAATCAAAAGCTCTCCAACATGCTCCTCTATTTTGTATTCTGCCTCTGGAATATAAACCGTTGGTTCTAGAAAAGATGGTAGAAGACACTTCAGCAAGATGTCAAGTGGACTGGTGATATTGGTGATATTCTAACCTGAGTAGAAATGTACATAGTCTTTGACCCCTAAATTTTTCTAACATGATTAACTGTATGAGATACAGTGGGAATAGGAAATGTTTCTTATTAAGTGGAGCTGGAGAGGCAGTGGAATTGGGTTTAGGAGGCTTTTGAAAGGTTAAAAAGAAAAGCTGGCACTAAAATGGAAAGGAAAATCTTGCAGCGGTTGTGTCTTTCTTTTTTTTTTTTTTTGAGATCAGATTTTAGGTCTTCTAAATAGAGATCACACATTTCTACCCTTGCTTTCCTTTTACTGCTTACTTTTTTAAAAAATGCTTTTAACGATCAAGTAAGCTAATACATTAACACGGAAATAAGTTTTTCCTGATTTATTCCATGAACATTTTATTCAACACTTATTGTGCAGATATTGTGTGGAAGACACTGGCCAATTAATATTTTGGGAAAAATAAGTTACTGGTTCTCCCCTAATTTTTTTATTAGGCTTTTTAATTCTGGTATCGTTAACATACTCCTACCCTTAATGTTTAAAATAACATTCCCATTGGAATTTACCGAGCTGTGTGTGTGCATCCGAATGCACGCACATGTGTGTATATTTATGCATATATACACATCACAGAACATTCACTGAAATATGAATATGAATATTGGTTATCTCTTGATGGAATTATATGTAGTATTTTTCTTTTTTTTTCAACATTTTCCAAGGCTTTTCATTAAGCATGCATTGTGCAATTAAATATACGTGTTTAAAAAAATAGAAGTTTAAGTGTGTTGCTCCTACTCACAGAGTCAAATGGACAACTAATCAAACCACATTCAACTTCTTTAGTTCTTTCTTTCATAACATATATACACATAGAGTCTTCCTCTTGCAAGCAAGAAGGAAAAATATTGTATAGACCATCATTTCTTCTTTTGGAACTATTACTAAGTGATAACCCAGAATTCAATGTTGAATTGTCTAGTTATCATGGGTTAATTTTTACTTCTTTATTTTGCTGCCTAAATTAGTTTCAACAGATACCGATATCTACCTCTAGGAAAATAGTGGTCCCGATTTACAGAGGAAAAGACCAGTGATAATTTTCTTTCTGCCATTTTACCCTCCTATGGTAGTCTACTGTCTTGACATCTCTTGATTCAAAAGGTTGGCATCATGGAAGAAGCTAAAAGTAAGTTAAAATTATTATCATCATGTGAAAAAACTGGAAAAATACATTAATACTGAGTTGTTCAGACATGTTTTCTATTTTCTCATTTTGAAAAGCCTGCTCCCTTCCATCAGGGAATCCAAACCCCATTAATTCTTTAAGACTCAGCTCAAACCCTCCCTCCTCCAGGAGCCTTAACTGCTTACGACTATGGTGATCTCTCCAATTTCTTACCTCAGAACTCTAGACTCCTTTAGCCAAGTATCCTAACACTGGGCTTTCCTAATTGATTCATGTGTCTAAGTGTTGTCATCAACGAAACTGATAAGATACCTTGTTCATTGGGTAATGGGGCAACGTTTTCTACTTTTGTCTGCCAAAAACCAAAGTGTATAGAACAATATTTCCCAAATTGTATTTAAAGAAAACTATAACTAAGAGATTTTATAGGATATTCCTTGGGGACAATAAATAAAAAAAAAGTGTATGTTCTAGTTTGGGAAAACCAATTAAACAAAGTTAAACGGGTTTCTTTGTAGGAGAATTTCTTAGAAAGTTTATTACGCTAAAGTGAATTATGATGCTTCAAAGGAAGGAAGATATTTGAAACAGTTTCTAGATTTATTTGGTCCATGGAAAGCTTTCTAATCCTGTTGTAGAAATTCTATTATACTACGGTTCTCTGCTATGCAGTTTGCGACATACGAATACAGAGGACTCTCCATGCATTCTTGTGAATTAACTAAGGCTTATGCCCTGGTAGTAAGTCATGCAATTCTAGGGGATGCCTGAATTCTTTCAGCTATTATGACAATCAGTGTGTCTAATTAAAATTCAAAGATGAATACTAAAACCTTCCTTAAGGGAGTATTCTTCTCCTTTCAAGAAAAGGGGCAACCAGTAGCACAATTACTAGTTAAAACTTCTTTTTCCCTTTTAAATTTATCTTGGGAGGTATTTGCTGTATGAATGAATGAGTAAATGAATAAAATGAACCTGTGAATTCAAGAATATGAGGCACAGCTATAACAGAACTTTGTGGAACACATGCTAAAACCAGCAAGTTGACTAGGGCCTAGCAGCCACACCCAGGACAAGGGGTATCTGAAGTCCTTCCCTGATCTGATGAGGTGCTCCCAGAAAATGGTGAGAAGTTAGTGGGCCTGGAATAAGCCCTGAGGATCAGCCATCTGGAGGCAATGCTGGGCCATATCGAGTGTGTAGAGAGCTAACTCTGAGGGCTTGTGCATATTCTAAAGGAATGCTGGTAAAGTCATGTCTATTTCAATCTCTTATATTCCTTTTCAAAAATCCTAAGAGCAGGGGCACCTGGATGGCTCAGTCGGTTAAGCGTCTGCCTGATCTCAGGGTCCTGGGATCAAGTCCTGCATTGGGCTCCCCACTCAGGGGAGAGTCTGCTTCCCCTTCTCCCTCTGCCTCCTCCCCCCACCCCCCACTTGCGCTCTCTTACTATGTCTCAAATAAATAATTAAAATCTTTAAAAAAAATCCTAAGAGCAAAGAAAAAATTACTGCCTTAAAGTGATTACTTAACTTTAAATCCTAGATGGTATGAACATATTCAGTGGCTTATGGAGCCTGAGGGAGGTATGAACGCCTGGAATGGATGCAAGAACATGTACTAGTTAATAAATCATACCAACATAAATCACATACCATCTCCAGGGTCGACAATTTCAACAGTTGCCATTTCCGGAAACTCCAGTGCAGCCATGACAGGGTTCAACAGAATGATCTGGAAGGTCTCTGAAGCCTCGTATTTATTGTCAGATATAATTCTCACTCTCCATGTGGCCGTAGTCTGTCCAGGATTGAAGTGGACCTGTTTCTGGGACTTTCCTTTAAAATCTTTATCTTTCTTTGCAGTTTCATCTTTGGTTACAATGCCTAAATAAAAAGTGGGAAACTATGAATGTAAAGCCAAGTCACTGAAGAAAGATTCTTTCAGAGAGGATTCTTTTGTTGATGAAAAACAGATAACATGGAAGTTACTTCTTTTAATGCTCCCAAAAGACATTTATAAACTATACGTATTGGCTAAGAGAGTACATTAGCAGAAGTGGAGGGAAGTGAGCGGGAAGCAGGGAAGGAGGAGAGACAAAAAAGAGAGAACAGAGAACGGTTATTAACTTATTTATTTTACAAATATTTGCCGAGAGCATCTGATATGCCAAACTCTACCAGGTACTCAGGATTCAGAGATGAGTATGAAACTGTTCCAGCTTCCAGAGAAGCCATTAGAATGGGCACCATATGGAGGTGGAGATCTTTGGCTGTTTTGTTCACTGGTGATTACAGCGGTGCCTGGCATGGAATAAGTAGTCCATAAATATATTTTTTAAAGATTTTATTTATTCATTTGACAGAGAGAGACACAGCAAGAGAGGGAACACAAGCAGGGGGAG